CTTAATAACTTAACGAGTGTCGGAGACCCGTTTTATACGTTCTACGATTTATTTAATCGTGCACTTGACGTAAATCAGCAGTTGCGGTTTCATCCGATCGCATAAATGGTGTTACAGTGATTTGAATATGAGGAAGTTCAAGTTTCCGATTGGATGAAACCGTGAACAGCTGATTTACGTCAAGTGCGCAGTTAAATAAATCCTAATATAGCATGTGCGCGTTAAGCAGTTGCCAAGAAAAGAGGGATAGAATATGGAGTCAGATTGGCACATGTCACTTAATTTCACCAGAAAATAAGAAAAAATGCCCACGAGGCTTCTTGGGCATCTCAATAACTGCAATAATGTAGATGACTTCGGGGAAGAGCTTTAAAAAAGTGGGATGAAGAAAATATCTTGAGAAAGCACTAATAATGGGAAGAATAGTAAGCAAATTGAGACATATAATACCCTTTTATCATATTTTGAGAGTGCACCAAGTGAAATGAAATAAATTAAAATGGCTGGTGTAGTGCGTTTTGTGTGAAAGGCAGTCACTTTGCGTGCCCGGGGAGTACTATGGTGTTTGTTGGGCGTGTTCCGTGTATGCAAGAGTAGCGATAGATTCCTATAGTTTCCGTTATTAATCCTCACAGTCTGCGAATTGGTTATCGTTCAGTATTCACACACACACACACACACACACACACACACGTACGCACGCGCGCACACACACACGCACGCGCGCGCGCGCTCTCAAAACGTTGCTATCCATCAAACCAAGCAATGAGATGCCTGAGAACTTTTGTGTACGTTACAGTAGATTAAAAAACACCGAAAACGACGTTTTCACAATCTTTATAACAGTAAACCGCAACCCTCGAAGACAGACAAAAAATCCTATAAGTTACAATTACATTTTAAGACAAAATGAAATCATTTGCTAGTGCTAAGAGGCATTCAGATCAACATTAATTTTTCGTATTACTTCGTTAGAATACTTCACATCCGTCATCGTATTCAGTAAAATGCATGATTCAACTCAGTACAAGATAATGGCGAGTGTTAAAATAGAAGTGCGTAGGGAAAATGCCACGTGTATGCTTTAGAATTGTGAAGTACTTGACTCGCGGGTCACACGACAACAAACACTGACGCGTCTGTAGGTGTAACATGGGTAGAGTACGTAGCATCGCAGAGCACCTATAAAATACCTTTGTATACCAGCATTATAAACGACCTTTTCGGTTCAAAGAACTCGTTCATAATAGGGGATTTTACGGCACAGACGATGACGTGTTAGATCTTACGACACGAATGATTGCGTCATCACACATTCATCCTATTGCAATGACAGACTTGTGGGGAGGTAGAGATAAACGGAACTGCCGACCAGTTTTCTCGCACAGATGTCAAATACCCCAATCGTCACAAGAAAGACGCCATTACTTATTTCGCAAAATGCAGTTTGATTCTCTTGTAAATTTACAATACTGTTTTACAAAAAAATAGCGTATGCCACTTGTTTACAATTTTGCTTTATTGCATTCGTACAAATTTGAAAACTCGCTCCGAACGTCTCTCGTTTTTAAAATATGTACTCCTGCAATAAAACTTAACATTATAAACTAATTGTATAAACTACTAGTATATGTTTGTGTATGGGTAGCACGTACACGAACTAACGTCTCGCTGGGAACTGAATCGCAAAGTTTCGGTTGGTGTCATGCCTCTCCTCTGATGACATCGGCGGTACCAGTTTGCTGTTTTTCAGTTCTATTCGACCATTCTAACACCTCCATAATACTCATGGGAAATTTTACTTTATTTCATAGAAGAGAGCAGTAGAAGGTATCATAGCCCATTCCCGGAGATTAAGAGTGACAGTGTCCGAATTGACAAGCGGCACGAAGAAAGTCATCATGCTCAGATATCAAAGGGGTTGCGCACCAGGAAATACGACTAGGCCCACATCCTATTCCCATCTCACTTTCGGGGAGGTAGTGAAACTAACACTGAAAGACATGTTAGAGCACACTGTTATCAGGGGCTGAATTATTCGGGTGAATTATCGCTCTTGTTACCACACGCGCGCCACTTGAACGTCAAAATAGTAAAATAACAAATTCAACGAAATACATAGCACGAGTTTGATGCATCGTTATCTCACAACAGAAGTTAAACATGTCGTCGAAGACTTTATTGGCAGTGTGTACCCTTCGATCAAAATTTGACGAATGTCAAATGAGACGTCTTTGGCTTCTCATTTGAATGAAATGAAATGTAATTATGGCGATTAACGTGCTGTCAGTAATTTGATTTCCGTCAACGCTACTAAGACTACTCGAGGATGAAATCGACATTTAGAGTAAATTCCGAGTTTCCACGTGTCTCCGAAGTCGTCCACGTGTCTCTGTGCAGTTGAGGAGTTTCTGACAAATATGCAGGTGTAATAAGAATTAATTTGTGTACCTATTTTATCAAAGTGATATCGAACGTAGGAATTGAACAAAGTGCAACGAAATATCAGTAAACATATGAACGTATTTATCTCTGGTCGGATCTAATCTGATCTAACGATTAGTGTTATTACTGTATGCATTTGATGTGAAACTAAAATTGACATAATTTCAATGTCAAACCGTTCCCCTGTAGAACCGTAGGAAATTATTAAGTATGAGAGCACAGATGAAAAAAAGAAAAATAATTTACCCGTTGAAATGTTTGAGCAGCGTGGTACATCTGTTTCAACTACAGAATTTTTTTTAAATTGTCCCTAATATACAAATCTTGTACGTTAGGACTTTTTGAGTTATTAATCACATTTCATATTAAGAATACGATTTTTGTAGGCGATATATCAGTGATGAATATTACAAGATTAATTTTATTTATACTATTTTAAGTATTTCATTGATTTGATATCTGAAATACAACAAATAAGACACATGTCTCGGTATTATTTTCTGTCCAAACAACTAACATAGTGATATTGTCACCTTCATTGTATTAACATTTTATTAGCTTCTAAACAACAAATCACCGCTAATGTTGTCACAAAGATACCATAAGGATATAAGCAAAACGTACAATCCGTTGTGATAATGCTTTCATGTTTCGAAATTAAAAAAGTATTTTTTTACGGAGACTCCATGTTAACGTAATAATTGTTAATATCGACGTAAATAGTATGCTACCCATCTCTGGGACACCTTCGTCAAAACCCTTGAAGTACAGCACATACTGTTCAATAATTCCTCAAATATTCGAAGAACTCTTAATTCCATGACTGTTTTTGAGAAGTTGTTTAAACTTTGTGTTTTGTTCTATAAGAGGCATTTTTGTGAGCATGTAAAATTCAATCAAAATTTTTCTTGTTTATTGTTGTTTAAGTGCATCTTTCTCGGTTAATGCTTAAAATTACCACATTGAGACTACATAATCAATCAATGTCTTCATATTCATTGTATTCATTAGAGATCACTATTAAAACCTACATCTATTTATTCATTAAATCATTGGGTGCAGTTCTAAATTAATATTATGCAAGACTAATCGGGAAGTTGAAAAGCATGTAAACATTTTAAAACTTTAAAAATCAAACGTAATTAAAACAGAGATTAAGTCAGAAGTTCTATGTCCACATACACTGGGTTAAATATAAAACCAAAATTCCTACCTGTTATGAAAATTGATGTGAAATTTATGATCTAAATTCTACTAATTATTAATTTATTAATTTTAATATTATTAATTTATCTAAAAATTAGGATATATGGGATGTTTCAACTAAATATGAAGATTTGTTAATACCGAAAATTCAAAAGTTAATTCAAATTGAAAATCTTAGTGTTATTAAGCTTACTTTATCCTATTGCCGTGTAATTAATCAAAAGAAAATTAACATTTTTTAGTAATCTTGAAAATGGAACAGATGGTCTACAGATAGCCTCTAAATTCGTGAGGTCTCTTTAGTAAAGTCGACAGCGGATTATCCAATAAATATAATCCTACCTGCGTATTGAAAACTAATGTTACTCGCGGTAGGACCAACATTTTTTCGAAACGGACATAAGGGATATTATACCTCAAAACACTGCGTTAAGATCCGTCACGGGATCGACTTTCCGTCAGAAAACATAATTACTTAAACATTTCTCGCGGAGTCTGAAAATTAATTCACAACACGTGTCTCCTAGGCGAAAAAATTGAGTTTCTTCAAAGATCGTTTTGATCACAATTCTACACACTTGTACTGGGTTGCAGAAGAAGCTTGCGTGAGTAACATCATGCGGTTACGTAACAAACAGAAAAAATGTATTGTAATGTGCGAAACAGAACCTGGAAAAGTTATATTCTCAAAACAGAAAACCGGAAAAATACTAACTTCCAAAACGGCAGATCACTAACTACTCTGCAGTAAAAGAAGCCACTCAATTTGTAAACAAACAAACAAACAAACTGGCGAATATTATTTTTATAAGTAAATTCGGTAATTTACTATCTAGGTATGGTCCAAGATATCGTTTGTGGTAAATTTTAAACGCTGAGGAAGGCAATTTTCCCAACGGGAGTAAATAATAATTGTTTATGCACAAGAGGCGTTGTAAGGGTTCTAATAAGGGGCGACAAAATGACCGGGGGTCTTTGGGCCGAGGGATTTTTGTCGTTCGAGATCATTAGAACCAGTTAACGCCTGTGGTACATACATTTTATTTTTTACCTAATTTTATTGATTCAAATTTACTTATTCACTAATTAACTATTTGTTAACTTGACTCAGTTTGTATTTCCATAATTCCCTTTCATAATTTCCCCCATAAGTGAACGAGTAACATCATTCAACTGTTTTCTTATTTCCCTCGTAATCGCGATCCTTTCGATCTAGATAATTTATGCAGTGTATATCGAGCTCCGTATCGCGGGCAATAACAAGATAAAACGAATCATAAAAAATAAATTAAAAATATAAAGAATGCTCCGAGCGCCAAGTGGACAGCGCGCAGCAGTGGCTGACTCACAGGAGAGGACCTCCGCCTTGGGCAGCGTGGGCGTCGGTATCTGCGTCGGCGTGGGCGCCATGCTGGCGGAGAGCGGCGTGTGTCTCGCGCGGCTGCTGCTGCTCTGACGGACTGCGCCCGCCGACTGCGGGAGGCGGCGGCGGCGGCGGCGGTGGTGGGCCTTCGGACTTCGGAAAGCGCTGGCTAGTGCGCACGCGCGCGCAGGCCAACCCGACCGGAACCCGGATCACTTCTTTCCACGGCGACCTGCATGGCCCCACTTATGCGCGGTTATTACGCTGCCCCTTCCCTCCCATGTCTTTGTTTCCCTTTGTCGTTTCCTCGTCCGCTGCCCCGCCTCCCAGGGCGCTTACGACCCCGGGTCAAGTGGCTGGTGGACGATTGGAAACGCGCCACTAGTTGCCTGAGTTTCTCGGCGGTCTCCACATTGTTAATGGCAAACGTGAGATGGGCTACAAGTGGCGAGAAAGGTGGAAACCTTCTCCTCTCCATATTCGTACTAGTGATGCGATATCTATAACAAAACATCGATCTATGCAAACATCGATGTTCAAAACTAAAACTTCGGTGTTAAAAATACATCGACTAAAAACCATTCATGTTTTTCAACATTGATGTTTTCACTAGAGTAGTAACCTCGTAGTAGTAACATTAAATTCGTGAGCATTATAATTTAATTTTCAGAGTATTGACAGTATTTATTAGTTCGCTGAATAAGGGTACGAGAAGAAAGGGCAGTCCCTACGCTCACAGCGTGTTTGTTGACCACATCTCAATGTGCGAAGTGAATATGAAGAGGCAATACAAGGACTTGCAGGTCATCTCGCGCGACAGTTTGGTCGGTGAAGGTACAGCGTTCCTTCGATTACAATACATGAAAACAGTGTTACTATAAGTTATTTCGTATTTTAACTTCTACTGTATCTATGAAATTTTTTCAGAGACAAAACATAGGAAAAGGAAAAACATCGATTATAAAGCGTTGATGTTAAAAGACATTAGAGTTAATACATCGATGTTTAAAACATCAATGTTTCTACAAAAACATCGTAGTCGTCCCTAATTCGTACGTCTAGTCTCCAGTTGGGTTCGGACTAGTAGCACCGACTCTACTTTCCCTCGACATTGAGTGGGAACATGTCCCAAAGAAAGAAGGGAACATTAATTTGGTGTAGGAATAACAAATAGGTATAACGCGATTCCTCTGGTTTGCAGAGAATCGTTAAACCACTTGAAATATGAAGGGAAACTACTTTTACACGCCTCTTGCGAATTTAATGTATTGTTCAAACAGGCTTCCGTGGGAACATTATTCGGAACATTCCTGACCCTGGGTAAGGAACGACTACAGTTACCTTTCATAACTTGCCAAATCTGTTATCTGATATACCGAAAGTACTCTGATCGGAATGCAAATTGTAGATATTACAATAAGTATTTAATTAAAAAATTCAGAAGGAGAGGACAACATTATTTTGGTATAGGAATAACAAATTAGTGAAACATGATTCTCCGAGATTACAGAGAATCGTTGAACACCTTTAAATATGAAAGAAAAATAATTATACACGATCCTTGCGAATTTAATTTACTGTCCAAAAAAACAAGCTTACGTGGGAACATATTTCCCAACATTCCTGACATTTCTAAAGGAATAATTATAGATTGCCAAGAAAACTTGTAAAATCTGTTACCTAATACGCTGAAAGTGGTCTGGTCGGAATGCAAATGGAGGGGAATGATGAGTATTTAATTAAGAAAAGTATATTTTCATTGAAAATTTGCGATGTACTTTAATAAAAATAATATTTCACAATTGTTTAGTAACTTGGAAAGAGACTGTCTTCCTAATACTATGTAGTGGCAGTGGTACTCAAACTTATAGGTCACATGGATCCCACTTTTCTGGGAAATTCTTTAAGGATCTGGTAAGCGAATAACCGTGGTGTATTATTGTCTTATCTTCTAATGTGGTAGATAAAATGTATTCGATATGAAATCTACATTCAAATTTGATTTATTGTGAGCACTAGACAAAATAGTGAAAATATTAACAACATAATGTTTTGAAACTAAAAGGAATTACAAGTGAAATCTTTAAAGAAATTCCTAGGAGGATCATTCGCGGCCATTTTGAGAAACATTGGTGTAGACCCTGTAGTAACAATACGTCACGGCCGGAACTTGCTGTTGGTTTTGGCGACAGAATTAGAAAAGAAGAGAGCACTTACGTGGACGCTCCTCCCCCGCGCGCCCGCGGTCACTGTCCTCTGACGTCACTTCCCGCGGGCGTTGTTTACTGCTGCCGGGGCGATTACCTCTTCAATTAAGGACTTTTCAAACCACGGATAGGCTTGCTCCTCCAGACAAAGCGGCGACAGTCTGTTTGTTCTCTTATCTCCCTCCATCCCCTCTCTTTCCACCCCCCTCTCTCACAACTCCACACTCACCTCACACTTCACACTCACACTCACACTCCATCACACTCCACTACACTCCACTCACACTCCACTCACACTCCACTCACACTCCACTCACACTCCACTCACACATCCGCTCACACTCCGCTCACATCTCGCTCACACTCCGCTCACATCCGCTCACACTCGCTCACACTCCGTCACACTCCGCTACACTCCGCTCACACTCCGTCACACTCGCTCACACCTCGCTCACACTCCGCTCACACTCCGCTCACACTCCGCTCACACTCCGCTCACATCCGCTCACACTCGCTCACCTCGCTCACATCCGCCCACACTCCGCTCACACTCCGCTCACGACTGCCATCACAACCTCACTCACACCCATCAGACACTCTCAACACACACACACACACACAAGCACACATCGAAGGAACCACATTTTCAGTCTGTATGCCCATACCTTTTCAATCATTAGTAAACAAAATTATTTAAATATCTAATAAAGACAATTTAAATCCAAGCATCACACGTCATTTAACATATAGAGTGTTTCAAATTAAATATTTTTCCTTTCATTTGAACTCCCTTTGAACTGTTTGCTTGACACTTTTTTCCGTGGTACCTCGGCGTTTGTTACTTTTCGCGTGATTTCGTGTGACAATACGGGCGAGAAAGTACATGCTCTTTTGGCACCACTTGTTACTTCAACGTTTCGTCAGAAGTAAAAATTAATAGTTACTAAAAAAATTGGGGGGGTAACTCCCCTCACTTTCCCCACTCCCACCCCCGTAGAACCGCGCCTAATTCGCCCAGAGTAGAGAATATAAAGAAAAATTCTGCATTGCTATCTAGAAACGGAATGATTTCTCTGAAATGTTATACGTAATCAGTCAGAAACTACTGTACTGCTGAAGCAGGTGAAATATTTTCGTTGATTCCAAGTGTCAAGAGACGATGAAGACGAGAACACTGAACGATCATCGCCATCAAGAACTTTCGAAGTTGCTGATAAAAATCGGTTTTTTCTTGCCATAAATCCACTACACGTGATGCAGCCCACACATGCCGTACCTACCATCAAATAAAGATGGGAAGAAAAACTATTGCTGAGAATTGGGACTTAAAGAATAGCACATACCTTCCAGATTGGAATAATACGAAATTCACCTAAGAATTCTTTATTAAAATTGTAATTAAATGGTGTGCTCATACGTTTAGCTCCAGCAACGCCGGACTGAAGTGCTCTTTTGTAGACAAACATAGTTTTGAGCATGCCTGTGACAATGTGTATACTAATGTGATTTTTTTTAATCGTTCGATTGATTAGTGATTGCGGCACGCCAACTGCTAAGGTCATTAGGTGTGTAAGTGCACGCTGCAACCATGCCATTTCAACGAAACTTGATATACATTATTACTGGGGAAGTATAACGTGAAAAAGAATACTGCTGGAGTAATATGCCCCTATAAATGTGAGTGGGAAGGAAGTGATATATACAATAGAAACTCACTATGCAACCCCCAAAACCTAACCATAAATATAAGTAAATGGCGATTATGTACTCTGCCTACAACTATGTATGTAGCCCGATGGTGGCAGGATTTTCGACTACCTAGATAGCTAGGCCGAATTCAGTCGCCGTCTGGATGAGAATTCTAGCGATGTGGATAACATGCGATTCTCGATAATTCCAGAATTAGCCGGTAAATGTTTACCTCGCCGAAATTTGGTGGATGAAGTCGGTTGTATAACTTTTCCAACCATACATAAGACATTCGTTCGCATGTAGTTCACATTAATAGAGGGAGAGGTGGCTCCGTGCACTGATGTCACTGCAGTGTCTCTGATCGGGAGGTCCTAGGTTCGTCGCCCGATGGTGGCAGGATTTTCGACTACCTAGATAGCTAGGTCGAATTCAGTCGCCGTCTGGATGAGAATTCTAGGTTTCGAGAACTTCTGGTTGCGTTTCCCCCCGAGACATTGCGGTGATCTTTCCCCGCTAGATGGCGAGATCCGGCGTCGAACTACCGTTGACTAACGGAGTTTCTTCCAACCAGTTATCTCCCACAGGCCCATAGCACCACCACTGGGGGGAGGGGCAAGATCTACCCCCGACCGATTTCCCTGCACATGTGGCAGTGTAGGGCATGTAAGTGTAAGCGTGTGTAAGTAAGGGGTGAGAATAGAACAAGGAATAGGAAGGGAATATCGCGCTAGGTTCGTGGCCCATTTGTTAGGGGTGCTCCAACATTCATCTGGTACTGATCAGAGAAACAACAGAAAACTCTCGATCAGAGCAGCCAAACGCTAGAATTCTCATCCAGACGGCGACTGAATTCGACCTAGCTATCTAGTTTAGTCGAAAATCCTGCACCATCGGGCCACGTACATAGTTGTAGGCAGAGTACATAATCGCCATTTTCTTATATTATGGTTAGTTGTTGTGGGGTTGCATAGTGAGTTTTTATTGTATATATCACTTCCTTCCCTACTCACATTGTATAGGGGATTTACTCGCAGCAGTATTCTTGTTCACGTTATACTTCCCCAGTAATAATGTATATCAAGTTTCGTTGAAATGGCATGGTTGCAGCGTTGAAGAGTAAAGCT